TAATAATCTATAATTAAGAAGAATTCTGTACATTTATTATGTTTGTTGCTTATATTGGCTCATTTTAGTAAGTTTGTACGTGAAAGTGAAAAGAGGTTATGTTCATAAAGAATAAATCAATGTATATAATATAATTAGTTAATAAATTAAATAATTAAATATGTACGAGGTCAGTCCGGAAAGTATCTGACCTTGTACTCTAACCTTGTACCTGAGTGTGCTATTGTTAAAACTATAGCTATTCGTCTTTTAGGGTGGACCTTTACGAGTGCCCCTGCCAGGCAGCACGGGCCTTCGAGTCTTCAGTCGACAACGGTACGCTGTTTAGCAAACATTGAATTTTGTGCGCGTCGCATTTTGGAAGCGTTTTAAATTTGTAAAAAACGCTATTATTTTCTTTTGAAGTTCGATTATAACTTGTGGAATTAAAAAAATAAATTTCAATGAATTTTAAAAAATGTTTTTATTATTTCATTATTAAGTATAAAACATAAGACCATATAACGCTTACCTAAAATTAAGACCTATAATTAATCTTAAAGATGACTAAAAAATATCTAAAGAGAATCTATAAAGATGTCTATAAAGATGTCTAAGAGAAGCCTTAAAGATTACTAAAAGATATCTACAAGTAGTCTTCTTTTAGTTATCATATGGACAAAACTTGGAAGTGACACAATTTGTCGCATCCGACGGCTATTAGTCATCATTTCGGCGACTAAATGCTACAGCCGAAAGATGTCCGTGACAAAAATATGTCCAGTTTTAGTAGTCTTTTTAGACGACTTGGTGCTGTCTGGGAAGAGTACCTTTATCACTGTGCAATGTACCGTCCCTGAACGCGCGAACTTTAAACTACCTGATTTGTCTATTATAAATGCTTCCCATTTGAAAAGTATTATAGCCTCGACATTTTCGTATTAGGATTTTCGTCTTACTTTTTGCTCAGAAATACGTTATTAAAATTTCGGTCACGAATTGCGGTACACCCTGTATATAAGAAATCGTACAAATAAAATCTGTAAACAGAGTTATGGTGGGATTATTAAATTGTTACAAATATGTACACATGGGTGCATTTATATCTTACTGTTAGAGTATTAAATAGCTGTTCTCTAATGGGTAGATATGATTGCCACCCGTTTGTACTACAACAACGTATGTCCCTAACAGCACATGATATTCTGAGTATCATCACATTTTCATACTCATCGTACTGTGATCATCCGTAAAATACTGAGATCAACACTATAATATCTTTTACAGTATCATTCGGTTTCCTTTCGCACGCGTATGATCTCAGGTGTGACTCGAGGTACGGAAATGATACGTACGCTTTTGTTACGCGCGCGTATAATCTTGGTAAATACTGAAGATATGGAAACAGTATCAGCTCGCGCTCAGTAACAGACACAACACGCCATTGGTAGAAAGAGGTCACGTGACCCCCACCGGATCGCAACAGGCGAGCGTGACGATCGGTAGAGGGGCACGGGGAGAATACTTAGGCTTGGAAGTGACGTGTTACCCTGGACGTGGGACACGAGTTTATTTGGCAGAGTAACCCAGGTAGCAATAGTGCCCTGCTTTTACTAGCTTTTGAGCCCGCGCGAAGCCGGGTCTATAAGTTATCGCTTTAAGGTTGCCTTTACTGTTGTCTTATTATTTTAGGTTATATTGAAACATTTGCTGTACATTATTGTATGTGCTCTGGAAGTTGGTTTTTATGGAAGCATTCGCTTCCATAAAACTGTGAGAACAGTGTGGAGTACTGTGGAGAACTGTGAACTGTTCAGTTATTTCGAGACACTTCTGGCAGAGGACGAGGAATGTCGGCAGTGCTTTCGACAATTTCGCAGCTTGTGCACGACCCTTTTAGTGCCGATGGAGGGTATTGTCGGCGACAGTGCCAAAAGTATACAAAGTATCGTCGACCGCGACACGAACTTTGCGCGGAAGTACGGATACGCGGGAGGTCTTCGATGGAATGCGATCAGCGCCGTGGAGATATTCGAGCCTGTGCTCGCTTACTGGGAAAAGCGCGTGGACACCGACAAGAGCACGCTCGAGCGTTTGCTCGACACTGGCGTCTTGCTGGAACTAATGAATTTGTTTGTACACATGAACAGAGATGAATTTTACTCCACGCACGTGTCGGTCAAGTGCAAGTCGTGCCTGGGCAAACTCTGTACAGTTAAGAGGGACTTGTACAACGCCGTGGTGATAAAATGCAGATTCGTCAGTCTGGTATGTAAGTTTTCCGTTAACATTCAATTCGTATACATTCAATTGCTCATATTTAGACATAAGTGTAATAATAATAATTTTAAATGATTTTAGATTAAACAATTGGCACGATTAACAGGACAAGACGTTAAACATTCGTGTTTACGATTATTGAGACAAATAATCTCAAACGAAGTTGCGGTGCTGTTCAACTGGCACGGTGTCAAAAACAAAGAAAACTTTTCTAAACTGAACCTGTGTCAAGTAATTCTAAGTAAGTAAAATATTAAGAAACAATTTTCCTTTTTATTAATATTATTCAGGTTTGGGTAGTGTCTAGTTAAGAAAATAAAAGTTAGGTTAAAAAGTTAAATAATTTTAACTTAACTTAGTTACGTTATAGACTGTAAACTTTTAACTAAATTTAGTTACATTTTATCGGTAACTTTTAACTTTTAATTTACATCTCTCTTAGACCCGGTTTTTCATTTTCTTGTAAACTATTAACCAGAGGTTAATCATTTCTCTGTCTCTTTTTAGATAATAATATAAAGAAAGATAGAGAGTCGAGTAACTTGTGGTTAACAATTTACCAGAAGTTAGTCGACTCTGCATCTTTTTCTATGTTATTATCCGAGAAGAGACAGAGTCGACTAACCTCTAATTAACAATTAACAAGAAAATTAACAAGATAAAAAATTTTTTATTTGTAATTTTTGCAGGTGTGATAAGGAACGCCCATACATCCGTGAAGGATGAACAAATATCTAAACCAATAAAAATATGGTTGGCACATGCCAAAGAACGTATAGAACGACAGAGAGGAAAAAATACAACAGATCAAGTTCGAAACAACGACGGACGGGATGCTCCGGCCCAGCTCCAGTCTCGTCGTGGGAGCGACGATCATTAGAATCCGCGGGCTTCTTCTATTAGAAAAATTATCTTGTACGAAGAAAGAATATTTCTAATATATACAGGGTAAGTCATTTTAATTTATCACCCATTAAAACCAAATTTATTTATTAGGGGTGGTAAATTAAAATGACTCACCCTATATATATTAGAAATATTTCTCTTTAAAATTCTTTCTTTGTACAAGATTATTTTTATTTATATTTTAAGTTCTTATTTTGAAAATGGCAATTTTATTTAAGTTTTAAGTTGAAGTGATGTAATGTATGCGTATGCGACAAGGGGAACATGATTGTATTCACATATTTACTGAACCACACGTCGATGAGATGTTGTAACACCAGGCAACTTAGAGTTTCGGCTGATTGAACTTTTTGGCTTTCGAAATTCGAGTGGGAGACCAGCCAGCCAGAAAGTGGCTTGTTCTTATTTTGTTGTTACGTATATAACTTACCGTTGTTAATCATTTAAAAAAAACATAAAGGTTTTGTTGCCCCCCCCGAAGAAGATTGCAAGGACGTACAGATTGTATATTGTCGGGCTTGTGAATACAGTGGGTGATTTAAATTCGCGAAATTTGAGTAACTTTCATGGAGAGAAAGAGAGGACGTTGTGACCATTCTTGGATGCTCGCATTGATCTGCGGAGCGTGTGGTGTAAAATTTTATATCTATTCTATAAATAGAGAGAAGAGAGATATGCAAAATATGCGAGTGTTTTGTTAGAATATGAGTACTACCGTGG